AAAAAAAAAAAAAAAAAAAAAAAAAAAAAAAAAAAAAAAAAAAAAAAAAACAGCCTCCTTTTTTCTGAATAGCGTGAGGATAATGGGCCGACAACTCTTGAAAATCAATAGTCCCTCAAGGGTCTGGCCAAGGACTCTTGGAAACGCACGAATTGCAGGCAGGCTGGGGTGTCCAATCTTTCAAGAGCCTGAGCTGCTCTTGAAAGGGTTTCAAGAGCCACTCTTACTGCTCTTGACTTCCCCAAGTTTCAAAGGCTGTGTGGCGATGCAGCAACTCTTAAAAATGAGTTTTCAAGAGTGGTGTGGTGAGGCCCTATATCATCATTGAACTGACCGTTGATTCTGTTCATCAGATAGTATCTGGACTCTAATCAATTCTGTATATCAACATTTCATGGGTGCAACAAGGGGCATCGCTGCACTACACTTGAATCTTGAAGAATCAAGTGTACGGCACCACTGCACTTACACTCGAAAACAAAGTTGAGAAACAGCTTTAAAAGCTGTCAGATCGGCGCTAGATTCTTCAAGAGCGAGTCATCACTGCACTCACTCTTGACGGATGCTCTTGAATTTCTTTTTCAAGAGGTGTCAAAAGGCCCGATTCTGACAGCTCTTGAAGTGTTCAAGTATGCCTGCCTGCAAGGGTGGGTTTTTGAAGGGTGGTCGGCCCGACCCTTCACGAGCTCTTCAGGTTTCAAGAGCGGGCCTCCAGTCTGGGCTGACAAAGCAGCTTTGCACCGTGGTGTACCATTCAAGACTGGGGGGGGGGAGGAATTCCAGAATCCTTCAATATTAGGGGCCTCGCTGCACTACTCTAGACTCCCGAAATATTTCGAGAGTTCTACTAGCATTGTCAGAGAGGCGAGACTCTCGAAATACCCACCTTCGCTGCACTTGCTCTAGAACCTATTACACTAGATGAACTCTCGAAACCCTGGGCATCGTACTACTCGACAGAAGAGCTGCACCACTGCACTACGGGACAAAGTCTGGCCGCCGGGACAAGAGGTTCACTCTCGAAAAACGAGCCTGTCAGCGGGCAACTCCCGAGGACACTTGTGAATTCAGTTTTTGCAGGCGGGGGACTCTCGACGTTTTGAGAGTGGCCTTATAGCGTGGCTTTTGAAAGCTCTCGATTGGGTTTCGAGATTCCCGATCAGCGAAGACCCACTCTCGAAATCAAAACTTCAAGAGTCTAGAGTAGTGCAGCGAGGCCCTAGGGCCGTCGAGAGTCAGTGCAGCGATGAAGGCTACTGTGAGCATTTCTCTTGGGCCTCGCTGCACTACTCTAGACTATATTTCGAGAGTTCGACTAGCATTGTCAGAGAGGCGAGACTCTCGAAATACCCGCCTTCAATGCACTTACTCTAGAACCTGTTATACTAGATGAACTCTCGAAACCCTCGGCGTCGTCATACTCGACAGAAGAGCTGCACCACTGCTCTACAGGACAAAGTCTGGCCACCGGGACAGGATGTCCACTCTCGAAAAACGAGCCTGTCGGAGGGCAACTCCCGAGGACACTTGCAAATTCGGTTTTTGCAGGCAGGCGACCCTCTACGTTTCTAGAGTGGCCTTATAGCGTGGCTTCTGACAGCTCTCCATCGGGTTTCGAGAGTTTCCCCGACCGAGAGTTCCCGATCGAGAGTAAGGGCCTCACTGCACTACTCTAGACTCTCAAATTTTCGAGAGTGGGTCATCGCTGCACTTAGGGGCTCGTTCGACACTCCTCGGGCCGTCCTTGGGCCCCGAGGAAATTTTCCCATCGTCGCCCGACGAAAATTGGGCCTCCGTTCCACTCATCCTCGGAAAAGCTCCCCGAGGACGATTCCTCGGGTGCTCCCGCGGCAACTTTCATATTTCGATACGCGGACGCGGGGGGGGGGAGGCGGTTGGTCCATCGAGTTCTGTTCGTGCCGTCGTCCTTGGTCCAGCTAGGGCGGGCGTCGCAAATTCGAAAGTCGGTGGCGGAAAAAAAAAAAGGTGGCGACGACAAAAAGGTGCGCAGTCCCGGATTCGAAATTTGAAATTCGAATTCCCGCAAGCGACAGGGGGGGGGGGGCGTGGGCGTCCTTTGCGGCTGACGGACGCAACGTTCCTCGGCCGAAGCTTTCAGGTGCGTGGTGGCGGTTGCGTGACGGCGGCCACGTGAAACGTACATGTATGCGCCCCAAGCAGCAGACACGCCATCACCATTGGTCGTCACCGTTGTCGTCTTCGCAGGCGCACCTTCGTCGTCGACGTGTACGTCGTGCACTCCTGTCGGCAGTCCTCGGGATCGCTGTTGTGCGCCCCTACAGACGTGGAGTCTTCTTTACTTCGCGCCCGAGGCGTCCACAGTTGAAGTTGTCGGCGATGGACATGAATGGGGAGGTGGGGCGTGACACACTCAGCAAGACGGAGTGGACGGCGGTGGTAGTTGTCGTCAACGCCATCCTCATCCACTGTCAGGTGCAGAGGACCGAGGGGAGGATGAAAGCGGCCATTCGCGCACGGAGGAAGAAGACGTTGCCGTCCTTGAATGTGGAGGAAGATGATAGTGCTGCCATTTGTGACGCCATACTGCACGTCTGTTACACCATGGGGTGTGGAGGGTTTCCCAGAGCCCCGCCCAGGTGGTGGATGAAGCGACGGACAGGGGGGACGTGGGAGGATCAGCGGCATTGCGACGACGCGACTGCGGACTACTTCAAGGACAAGCTGCGCATGTCGCCACGTGTGTTCCGAGAGATAGCGAAAACTTTGTCTCCCTTCCTTGAACGGCATGTGACTTTCTATAGGGAGCCCCTCCAGCCTGACCACATTGTCGCCTACGCTTTGTACAGATGGGCGTCGGGGGAGACTTACCAGAGCGGGACATGCAGCTTCGGCATTGGCAGATCTTCTGGGTTGGTGGCTGTGCGGGATGTAACTGCGGCGTTGCTAACTGCCTACCCCGACAAGATATCGTGGCCAACGGGACTGCAGAAGGCGGTCGTTTTGCGCGCTTTTGCTAACAAGGGTTTCCCCAACTGCCATGGGTGCATCGACTGCACCCATATCTTCATCGACAAGCCAGTGAATTGCCCCGGGGAGGACTACTACGACAAAAAACGTTGTTTCTCCGTCCAGGCGCAGGTGGTCGTCGATCTGAGCTTGCGCGTGCTGGATATGTTTGTCGGATATCCGGGAAGTTGCCACGATGTGAGGATCGTCCACCTATCGAGTTTATGGGCGCGTGCGGAGGCAGCGGAGCTTTTCACTGGACCACGTGTCATGCTGCCTTTCGGTGTGCAGACGAACGGGTATCAGCTGGGCGACAACGGTTATCTCCCCTCCGAATGGGTCACCGTGGTCGTCCCCTACGGCGGTCTCGCACAACACACATCGGAGTTGCGCTTCGACAACAAGTAGAAGACGACAAGGGGAGCAGTCGAGAGGGCTTTCGGCAGATTGAAGGGGATGTGGAGGTTGTTCCTTCGCTCCCACAAGACATACATGGAGACGTTGCCACAGCAATTCGTCGCCGTCTGCATTTTGCACAACATACTCATCGACGCGGGCATCCCCTTCGACGACAATCTATTGTGGGAGGTCAGGCCGGACGGTGTGCATCGTAGGGTGGACCTTAAGATGGAGCGGTCGTTGAGGCAGATGTGTATGGAGTCGTCGACGGGGGATGCGTTAATCCTGCGGGACGCACTGGCGGAGCGAATGGGAGCGCGGTGAGGACGGGCAGGCATGCGGCTGCCATGGCCTTCACTAAGAGAGAGAGAGAGAGAGAGAGAGAGAGAGAGAGAGAGAGAGAGAGAGAGAGAGAGAGAGAGAGAGAGAGAGAGAGAGAGAGAGAGAGAG